AACAGACCGAGATTTGGCCATGTGAAGGTAAGGCTCTGCACTGGTCAGGTGTGTGAGGGGAAAATGACCCCTGTTGTAGAGCCAAGCAACCCCATGGGTCCTAGATTATGTGTTGACCCTGAGCTCAGCAGGGTGGGCCTACCAGGAGTTGGGAGGGTGGGGCCTCCAGGAGCCCCGAGGGTGGGGCTGGCAGATCTCCTCTGCAGGGCAGGTGCTGCCAGTCACATTCTCAGGAAACTGCGGGAATGGCCCCTGCCTCAAAGCCACACAACTCAGTCACCGACATCCCCTGAGTCTGCATGGGCCTGTCTCTACATGCCAGCCCAGGCAGCTGACTCCTGAGCATGGTGTGAGCTCCACATTGTGGGGCGACAGGATTCCAGAACGTGGCGTTAATGTATTCCCCCTAGGCTGATGCCGTAAGGAGGGGAGTGCTCCACCCAAGAACAATGTTGTCTGCAGTGTGGGAGATGGACTCAGCACAGGTATCCTGACGGCTGTCTCTTCAGGGCTTTCCCCAGAGCCACAAACCCCAGTCTCTCCTGACACGACTCTAGTCTACTCCACCCTCCCTCCGCCGGAGCCCAGGGTGAGTGGCCGCAAACAAAATTTTGTGCACTAGCACGTTAAGAGGGTGCCTGAGTCTCTAAGCAGAGTCCTGACTCTCCCTGGCGGACCAGATAGATCCCCACCGCTTTTCACAGGCAGATGCTATGTGGGTACCTCTTTCTGGCTCCAGGGAGCCCATCGTGGGTTTGAGACCCCACACTTCCTGGGGGAACCTGTGCAGCTGGGATATCCTTCCGGAATCTCAGCCGCCACCCGTGGGAATGGGGCCAATCCTTTTTGTGTCTCCACCTTTCATGCCCGTCTCAATGTGGCTTCTTCAGTAAATCCTTGGTTTTGAAACTTCTCTCCAGCTAGTCTTCAGTTGGTTATTCAAATTGATTGTTCTGTATTTTCGTGGTAATTTGAGTTTGGCCCTGGAGGGAGGTGAGTGTAACATCCACCGATTCCAGCGACATCTTGGATCACTCTTTTCTTCACTTTGACAGTTTCTTGCCAATCCCTTCTGGCCTGAACTGTTTCTGTTGAGCAATCAGGTGACAGTCTTAATCAGAACTCTCTTGTAGGTAACTGACTGCTTTTCTTTGAGGCTTTTAGGATTCTCCATTTGTCTTTAACCTTTACCATTTTAATTATGATGTGTCTTGGAGTGGGCTTCTTTGAGTCCATCTCCTTTGGGACTCTGTGCTTCCTGGACTTGGGTGTTATTTTCCTTGACCAGATGAGGGAAGTTTTCGGTCTCTATTTCTTCAGATAGGTTCTCTCTCTTGCTCTCTCTGTTGTCCTTCCAGTGCCTCTGTGATGCAAATATTGTTATACTTGGTGTTGTCCCAGAGGTCCCTAAAACTATGCTCATTTTTAAAATTCTTTTTTCATTTGGCTATTCTGATTGGGTGTTTCCTACTTACTACCTTGCCATCCAAATCTCTCTTTCAGTCTCCTGCTTCATCTAATGTGCTGTTTATTCCACCTAATGTATTCTTCATTTCAGTTATTTTGTTTTTGATTTTTGACTAGTTCTTTTTTATGGTATCTCTCTCCTTACTAAGTATTCTTACTAAGTTCACCTGTGTTTGCCCTAAGTTCGTTGAGCATCCTTATAAGTGGTGTTTTGAACTTTCTATGTGATAGATTGCATGCCTCTATTTAGTTCTTTTTCTGGTGTTGCATCTTTTTTTTTTTTTTATTTGGGATATGTTTCTCTCTCTCTTCATTGTGGCTGCCTCCCTGTGTTTATTTCTATGTATGAAGTAGATCTGTTCCGTCTCTTAGTCTTGACCTAGTGACCTTATATATTTTTATATAGAAAGGTGTCTTGTGGGGCTCAGTGGCACAGTCTCCCACGTCACCTGAGCTGGGTCCTCCAGGGGTGTTCCTTGTGTGGGTTTTCCCTCCTGCTGTAGTTAGGCCCTGGTTGGTGCTGTATGTCAGTAGGTGGAGGTGGCTGTGTGGTCTGGCCGTGCCTACCGCAGCCCAGCTGCTGTCTGGGGGTTGGCCCCTCGTAGTTGGAGTTACTTCAGTGGGACCCTTATTCAAGCTGATTTTGCCCTTTGGGTGTGTTTGTTGGGGAGCTGGTTGGGTGGGGTTTTGATGCACTCTGAAGCTGGCCACTGGAACCTCTCGGGAGGGGCTCTTGATTCAGGCTGAAAACAGACGCCATTTGTGCAAGATTTGGGGCTGCTTGGCAGGAGTTATAATTTATGCCGAGGCCGGCCCCTGCTTGTATGGGGCTTGTGGACCTTGGAGAGAGTGTTGCGTGAGCCTAGGGTGCCCACTACTTTTGTGCCTCTTGAGGACCTTGGAGAAAGTCAGCAGCACAGGCCTTGGACAGCCACCACTCCTGTGGGGTTTGTGGTCCTCTGAGTGAGTCTGCAGCGTTAGCCGAGGTAGACCATTCCTGTGGAGGAAGCACTGGAAGAGGCTCGGGCCTGGCAAAGAGACTTGGCTGGGGCAGGCTCTCAGGGAATCCCCAGGGCAAGATGTACAGTGTTAGGCAGGTTAAAGGAGAGCGCAGATTTGGCATCTGCCTCCATTGGGCTGTCTGGGTGGGAGGAGCGCTCAACGAAGGGACAGTGGTACTTGGCAGTGCTTCAGTCCCCAGAGACAGTTGCCCTGACCACTGCCCCTGCAGCCCTCACCATGAAGATAGTCAGTTTAGTTCTACGTCATGAGTCCCTGGTGCTTTTCGAGCTGCTGCCCTTCTCCTGGAGCTTAGAGTGAAGGAGTTTGTGTGCCGGCCCTTTAAGAACAGCCTGTCTGTCTCCCGCAGCCCTTTGTCTGTCTGCCCACACGATCTCCTTGGTTTTCACAGATGTTATGGGGACTTTTCTTCTCATCACTGGTGTGGTGGGCTGGGGAGCCTGTTGTGTGCCTGGGACCCTGAGCTCCTCATGGGGGACCGCCACAGTCAAGACAGCCCTCTTCTCTCTTAATCTTAGCACACCCTGGGTGTGGGGCTCGCCTCCTCCACGTCTCTGCCCTTTCTACCTGTCCGGTGTGGCTTCTTTACATCCTCAGTTATGGGAATTCTGATCAGCTAGTCCTCAGGTGGTTCTCAATGAGGATCGTTCTGTCATTTAGTTGTAATTTTGATGTGGTTGTAGGAGGAGAGATTAATTTACCTACTCGGCTGTCTTGACCTTCTGGTGGGTTGTGCTCATTTTGAATCTTCAAAAGAGTTGTAACTTTTCTAGCCATTTTTTAAATTTCTCCTTCCAGTGTCTAAATAACACCTTATGAACCCTTTTAATTTATGTATTCAAAAACAGGCATCAGCAAACTTTTTCTTGAAGGGCCAGACGGTTAAAATGGTCCATTTTGCAGTCCTTACTCCCCGTCACCTCTATTCTTCTCTACCATTGCAGCAGGAAAACACCATAGACACTCTGTAAATGAACGCGTGTAGGTGTGTTCCAGTCAAACTTAATTTTCAATACACAGGCAACATGCGAGATTTGGCTCATAGGCTGTAGTTTGCCAACCCATGGTTTACACTGACAGCAGAAGTTGTCACGCTTACTCACCTGTATTTAACTTTCTCGCAATATTATCGACCCGTACCCAGGAAGGGATGTCATTACCTTTTAGCTGATTAGACCAGTTTGCGTAAGTAGGACCTCTGAAGGTTCTAACCTTTGGTATCCATAATTTGCTTTTCTTCTAGAAAGCTGAAATGCAGGTGATTCTTGATTGATTTCTGTTCTCATTAATGTCTGTTTGGTTATTTTTTTTTCTGTGGAGAGGGGAGGGTGGAGGAGAAGCGGCAGCAGATGCATGCAGGCTTACCGTCCCTTAATCTTCACCTGTCAGCATTCCAAAAAAATCTGATAACGAAAAAGTTTTGTCATACGTTTGTGGCAAATACATTTGGCAGCAAAACTACCCAAACTACTCTATCAATGGTCTTTTATTTATTCCATTTAGTGTGAATATTCCTGCATCTCGATACAGAAACACTGATGTGTTTATTTACAGGGACTCACCGCTGGGTGTAACGTACTACACGTGCCCTGTACAACTTTTTAAAAATCTGAAATATTCCGAATTCTGAAATGTCATCTGTTCCTATGGCTTTCGGAGAGGGGATGGTGAACGCGTGAGGTACCCTGAGTGAGGCAGACTCAAATCGGGGGTTGGCAAACTGTGGCCTGTGGGTCCACTTTGGCCCACTGCCTGCTGTTGTGAATAACATGTTATTGACCCACAACCATGCCTGCTTGTTTCCGTGTTGACTGTGGCTGTCTTCCAGTGACAAAGGGAGAACCGAGCCTAAAGTTAGCATGCAGTCCATGTGGTCGGAAGGCCAGAAATATTTGCTCTCTGAACCTTCACAAAAAAAAGTCTGCTGACACCTGATCTGGATTAGGCAAATAAAGTTAGGCAAGTGTGAGCTAACTGTTGTGTCACAGTGGGTGATGTAAAATTTGAAGTGGAAAATTACTGTCTCTTCTACAAAATCTCTGCCAGTACCAGTTCCCACGGGACATAGCAGCCTCAGATTTTGCCAGTTTATCTTGTCTTGCGTCTTCTTACATCAGTGTCCTCTTTTTTTTCCTTTTGTTATTTAATTACTGATTTGAGAGAGAGACAGAGGCATTGATTTGTTACTCCACTCATTTATGCATTCATTCGTTGTTTCTTACATGTGTCCTGACCAGGAATCGAACCCATGACCTTGGCATATTGGGACGATGCTCTAACCAACTGAGCTACCTGGCCAGGGCCCTCTTCTTTCTTTTAACTCTCTTTGGAGTCAGCAGGACAGTAACCGATATTCAGTTGATTAATTCATCTGTGTGAAGGAAAGACCAGTTCATAGTAGGCTGCTATCTGGGTGAAAAGAATAGAGTGTGGTCGAATTATTAGAGATCTATAGGAACCTTTCTTGAGAAGGGGAGAGCTGCTGTTAATAACTATTATTTTCCCTGTTTTAGATTCTGAAGCGTGTTCCCAATAGTGTGCTGTGGCTGTTGCGTTTTCCAGCAGTAGGAGAACCTAATATCCAACAGTATGCACAAAACATGGGCCTTCCCCAGAACCGTATCATTTTTTCACCTGTTGCTCCTAAAGAGGAACATGTCAGGAGAGGCCAGCTGGCAGATGTCTGCCTGGACACCCCACTCTGTAACGGGCATACCACAGGCATGGATGTCCTGTGGGCTGGGACACCTATGGTGACTATGCCAGGTAAGTTGCAGCGAAATCATTGGAATCTTCCTTGTTATTTTTTTAAAAGATTTCATGTATTTATTTTAGACAGAGGGGAAGGGAGGGAGAGAGGGAGAGAAACATCAGTGTGCGGTTGCCTCTCACGAACCCCCTACTGGGCACCTGGCCTGCAACCCAGGCCTGTGCCCTGACTGGGAATCAAACCAGCGAGCCTTTGGTTCACAGGCCAGCGCTCAGTCCACTGAGCCACACCAGCCAGGGCTTCCTTGTTAATTTTTGAATCTCCTTTAGGGGAGATAATTCCAGGTGAAATTGTGTGTACTGGGGGAGGATGATAAAAAAAAAATGAGAGTTCTGAGCACTTGGCTCCATCCCCCTTATTTACATTGTGTGGATACTTACCGTAAATAACATGAATAACCATGTGCTATTTGCATTCTCAGATGAGCAATTTTTCTCCTTCTTATTACAGGAGAAACTCTGGCTTCTCGAGTAGCAGCTTCCCAGCTCACTTGTTTAGGTTGTCTGGAGCTTATTGCTAAAAATAGACAAGAATATGAAGATATAGCTGTGAAACTGGGAACCGACCTAGAATAGTAAGTAAACTTTCCCGTTAACAAACCGTATGATCAAATCATATGAAGGGAATCAGGAAAGTTTAAAGAGAACGCAGGTGCTATAAAAGGAAATAACAAAGTGAGGGTAATATAAAATAGGTAAATTAGTTGTGTGATCTCTGGATGGGAGACGAACTTTCTGAACTTTCATAAATGAAGTGATTGATAGGTTTTACTCTGTAAAGAGTTAAATGCCTGAATGAAAGTAACTAAAAAAAAATTAAAAGGCAAATAAAAAAATCTTTGTTTTTTTATGTCAGATATTAATAGCCTGGCTATATAAAGACTGAAGCACATTTACATTTTAAATCCCTTAATAGGAAAATAAACAAGGAAATCACCAGACAACTCACTGAAGTAGAAATACAAAAGCTTAACAAGACAAAGTTTCATCCTCTGTAGTAGAAATGTAAATTAAAATAACATTGAGGCATACCCATTATTTGCCAATAAAACAAACGATTTTTAATATGATACCCATGATGAGGGAGCATTGAGGCGCTGGCCTTTTCATACATTGGTGAGTAAATTGGTGTAACTCTTCCTCAAAGTTATAAAATTCTTTTAAAAAAGCCAGAGCTTTGGCCCTAATAATGCTACATCTTCACTATAGCGCAAGAAAGAAAAAGTGTAACTTAAATGCCCTCAAAGGGGTGGGAAATAAGAGGTGGTGCTTTACCCATACAATGAAAAAACATTTATCTCTTCACTGAGGTTTTTCTTTGGGTACTGTGTGTGTGTGTGTGTGTGTTTTCTAAGAAGTAGCATATTATATAGAAGTTTAAAGGAGCATCTCCTCTTTGAGTCAGATTGCCTGGGTTGGAATCTAGGCCATCCCACTCACAAGCTTGTGACTTTGGGCAAATTGCCAGTAGGGTCTACAGGCCTTGGTTTTTCCATCTGCAAAATGGGGATGAATGATAGTGCCTACCTTGCAGAGATGTTATGAGGATTAAAAAAAGGTGTTCCGTGTAAAACACAACAGTTTTTGGCACATAGTAAGCGTTCAGCAGATGTCAAGTGTTTTCATAATTTTCTCCTTTGAACATCATATACACCTAAGGAAAACAAATGAAAATTTTGAGCCCTGGGCTTAAAAAAATTAAGATTCATGTCCATCATCCCAGATGGGTATAGCAAATAATGTAGTGTCTTTTTTTTTTTTTTAACTTTTTGGAACAGAGTTGATTTCATGCAATATTTTTTGTCAATATTTTATAAGGAAAACTTAATTTTATAGTAAATACATATACATATATATGTATGTACTGTTTTATATTCCACCACTAACATTTACTGTGCTTGTTTTATTACATATCTGTCCATCTATTTATTTCTTTATCCATCTAGCAGTCATTTTATTTGATGCGTTTTGAAATAAATTGAAGATAGCAGTGCTTTTCTCCCCAAATACTTCAGAATGTGGATACCATTAACTATAGTTTAATATCCTTCTTTTTTCTTTTGAGGCAAACTTTATGTACAGTGGAATGTATAAATCTTACACTAGTTTTCAGAAATACCTTTATAACCCAAACCCTTCACAAGATATAGAACACGTATATCATTCCAGAAAGTTCCCTCATGCCTTTTCTCATTCAGTCCCCTCAGCAACCCTTAGGCAACCACTGTTCTGAATTTTTCCCCACCATAAATTAATTTTATGTTAGCAAATGGAACCTACATAGCATGTATTCTTAAAGGCCTCTTTCACTTGGCCTAATATTTTGAGAATTGTCCATGTTATTCGCTTCTCTTAGCATTCATTCCTTTTTATTGCTGAGTGGTAGTTCATTCTATGGATGTATCACAGTTTACTCATTCTTTTAAAAAAATATTTATTTTTAGAGAGAGGGGAAGGGAGGGAGAAAGAGAGGGAGAGAAACACCAGTGTGTGGTTGCCTTTCGTGCACCCCCACTGGGGACCTGGCCCACAACCCAGGCATGTGCCCTGGCTGGGTATGGAACTGGCAACCCTTTGGTTTGCAGGCTGGCGCTCAATCCACTGAGCCACACCAACGTAGGGCTAGCCATTCTAGTATTTGCATACAGGACTTACACAAATAGAGCACAAAAGTATTTTTATTTGGAAGGTAGCATGAATAAGGTCACGGTTGGGTTAAGGCCAGCAGCAATAGATATATACACAGCCATTTCACTAGTTCTGTCACAACAAACATTAAAGCCACTTTTTATTTTTGTTTTTGTTCTTTTCTTAAAAGGTTTTTTCTATTGCAGTTTACATTTAATACTTTGTATTAGTAAACTCAATACTCTGCCATGTGTATGTGCCTTAGAAGAAGTAGCATATTACAAATGCTGCTTCAGTGAACATCTTTGCATGGCCAGGTGTATCTGCATCTCTGATTATTTCTTCTGAATAGACTTGAAAGTGTTTTTGATTGTCAGAGGGTTCTGAACATTTAAGGTTCTTAATATACACATTACTAAATTACCATGATGGTAAGCAGTTTACATTCTAACCAGTGGTACGTAGGAATAGACGTGTCATATTTTAAAGGTAGAAAGGAGATGAAATGGAAAAAGTGGTCTCTCCTGGATATACTTGTTTAAGAAAGAGCTAATTTCTTCAGAGGATGTGAACTCAATTATAAGTGTTAGCATTATGTTAGGTGTAACCTTTTTGTAGCATTGAGGTCATGTAAAGTTTCATCATGCATTTTACCAAAGATAAAGTTTCTGCTCTGTTGGTAAACTTGGCTCTCTCTCTCCTTTTAAATTTCTCAGCCTGAAGAAAATTCGTGGCAAAGTCTGGAAACAGAGAATATCTAGCCCTCTGTTTAACACCAAACAATACACAATGGAACTAGAGCGGCTCTATCTACAGATGTGGGAGCATTATGCAGCTGGCAACAAACCTGATCACATGATTAAGCCTGTCGAAGTCACTGAGTCGGCCTAACTAAAGACTGTGCACAGGAGAATTAGCCCTCTACCTGAGCCTCAACCTTCGGGGGAAAGGGAACTAGAAAATGGACTTTTTACTTATCTGTATAGCATCATGTTAAAGATGAATGACAAATGATGAGCATAGAATAGCACAGCCGGAGTTGCTTCGTGCTTGATAGGGAGAGACCCACGAGCTGGAAACTGCTGTTCTACAAGGAATCTCCATAGAATTTTGCAGCAACCAGGCGGTGCATAGGTCTGGAAGGTCTGCTCTCCCTTGGTCTTCTGCGGGATGGTTAGTGTGGAGGGGAGACCTAGACTGTCCAGCCGTTCTTGTGATTCCGTGGCTTGATTGAGTCTTCTCAATTAATTTTTTCTTTATATTTTGGGTATTGGAGTTTTTAAAAATGTTTGGTTTCAGGTGTTTTTATTCATGTGAAGTACATATGATTCTCTTGAGATAAGGTTTTAGGGTAAAATGTTGCTCCTCGTTTTAGTTTCAGAACTCAATCGATTAATGGGAACTTTGCTGGTGTAGTCTTTTTATAGGTTTTATAAACCACTTGAGCCTATATCAGTCGTTTGAGTGTCTGACCTGATGTTTGGAGCTACCAGTGCTTTGTTGGTTTAGATGGTGACTCTTTTTTTTTTCTGGTCCATTTCCTTCCCCTCCCCATAGTACTTTAAAATTTCTCCTGTAACTCAGCTAACAAAACCAAGTCTGATGCAGAATATCCCAGAGTGTTTCTCTGAAACACATTATCTGGTGCCAAATGAAAATTCATAGGAATGATTACTAATTATGAAGGGCACAGTTGTGGTACTGTCATTGATGATAATAATAATAATGTGTGTTTTTTTGGCCTAGTTTTCACCTATTTCAGCAGTGTTTTATCTTCTTCGACTGCCCCTCTATGCTATTGCCAGAGTGATAGTGTGTAATAAGATATATTTACCTTTCTTTCTAAGGTTTGCTTTTTTTTTAAAGTGAGTCCTGTTCTTCCTAGTTCTGTCAGCAGAAATGAAATCCCAGGTAAGTATAAGTATTCAAATATTTGATCAGTAAGTTAAAGTTATTTGTGACTATGTTAAATAACTTTCATCAAAAACATATTCTAGGTAAAAAGCACTGAAGGACCAGCTATGTGTACGAATCATTGTTTTTCAGACCTTCTAGGAATTTTGTAGTAACTGTCTTGTGGACTTTGGTCTTGAAGTCGTGTATACTCGGGCTCAGCAGTAGCGAACTGTACTGCTGCTTGGTTTGGAGTACAAATTAGACTAGGCCACCTGGAGCTTGATTTTTAAACCATAGGAATGAAATTATTGAATTTCAACAGAGGATTGAGGACTCGAGGCTTAAACAAACCAACATATGAATATGTTTTGTCTTGCTGTACTGCACTTATGCTATCCAGTAACAGATAATTTTTTGTCTGCTAGTAGTGTTCTAGATTATAGTGTCTTTCCAAAGCACTGAGGCAGTGTACCTATTCCGTAGTTGCAGCTGATGCCTGAATGTATCCTAGCTGACAAATTATTAATAAGAACTTGAATTTCTGAAAGTCTTACTGTTAACCAAAATCTGAGCAAGGAGTCTCAAGTATAATTCTTAGCCAGAATTATGTGTTAATGAACTGTGTATCTTTTAACGGCGTGAATCAAGGAACATCACTTTAGGGAGTTTCTTAATTTATTTTTTACCTGATTGAAATACTAGTTAAAAAGGTTGCCAGCATGATTGCAGATAAAGTGATATTTGCAATTCACCAAACTACTTAACGTGGAATAGGATGATATACTTCTAGTGCCCTCAAGGCTGCGGCCTTCCAGCCCTTTCACATAGCACATCATTCCTCCTATAGGGATGACTTTTTTCCTGGCACGAAAAGTAGCCGCTCTGGTTAAAGCTTTGCTTATTGTAACAGGCTTTGGTTTCCAGGTAACATGTCTATGGGAGACTAATTATGAATAGAGATACAGATATTACTGGAAACGAATTGTTTTTTTCTATTATGCTATGCTTTATGAAAAAAGTAAAACATTTAAATCGTGCTACAGAAATCAGGTGTTGTCTTGTGATCTTTAAATAATAAATGAATGATTTGCCCTTAACATGGCTGATGTTGTTTGTGTTCTGTTAGACGGAGTGTTGGACAGAATAATTTGGTGACCCTTTAAGATGACAAAGCCGGCACCCCCCCCGCCCCGGGCACGCTCATTCATGCTTGTTTTTGTTTTGCTTAAGGCTGCTCTGGCTTCACTACCCTCACAGTCTTTCTTTATGTGGACTTGTCCTTCCTGCTCAGTACAGTGGTTGAACTCGGCCCCCTGGTAGGAGGGGGGGAACCAAAACAAATGGCAGTGCACCAGGGACTGGAACAGGCTGCTTAGCTGCCTGTTTTCTCGGAGACATGAATGAAAATCCTTTTCAAGAAAATTTCAGGTAATTTACCTCTGGACTTCTGTGAATTGCGGCCCTCAAAGCCCTAATGCGGATTAGTGTGTTTCCTAAAAGATAGTGGGGGAAGAAAGTTGTCCAGTAACCTACTTGTAATAGATTTTATTCCCACGCTCTTCTATTTGTTAGGAATCTGCAATAACTGTTAAAGGAGTTGCTTGTACACCTTGAATAAACTTGTGTAATTTAAGATTTGATTCTGATCCTAACCCACTCATTACTTGAAGCACATGGCTCTTAATATTAACAACAGCTAACATTCAGGTTCGTCGTCCAAACCCCTGAGGCACACAGTTCTGTGACCCCCATTTTTATAGAAGAGGCTTGCAGAGAGGTAAAGTGGCAGTTTGTTCAAGAGGTAAGATGATAATGACAAAGTGTCTTTTATCCAATTTCCTATCAACTCAAAGTACTTTCATATATGTAGACAGTTTGGTGCTGAAGCGTTTAGGTTTTGGAACTAGTGTTTCTGGGGTTGGGATCCCGGCTCTGCCACTTTCCAGCCATGGGCGACACTGCTGTGAAGGTAGACTGCCTGCATTGTCTACTTTTGCAAGTGTTGTAAGGATTAAATCTGCACCAGACACTGGGAGCAGTGCCTAACATGAAATAAACCCATGTTATTAACATCTTTAAATGCAAGGACATGTTTGTATTCTGATGACCAAATGGTTAAATTATGAATTGTACAGGTGCCTGCCAGAGAAACGGGCACAATCTAGAAAGCATTTACTTCCCCGGTGTGTTTTTCTCAGTATGTTTGGAGCGAGTGCCAAAAAGCTTCAAGTAACCAACCCCTCTTTATCTCCTGAGTTTGAAGGCTTTTGGAAGCAAACGTCAGTGTTGCCAAGCACTGTCGGGTTGCTGCTCTGCTTTTCTCTAGGGGTTTAGGTGCCCTCCCCCCAGCGTCCAATACTTTGGAGGGCAAGCAGACAGCCTTAGAGGTTCCAGCAGTTCAAGCAAGGAGCGAACTGGCCTCACCTGTCCAAGTCCTCACAAGGATGGAGAAACTTTGCAGAGATGCAGCTCAGTTTTCTCCTGTCACCCCAAAAGTTGATTTAGGAGTTGCCAAACTGCAGAAATGAACCTGGGGCCCCTGAGCTCTGCAGGAAAATGGTGCTTTCAGGACGGATAAGCAACCCCCTGAGAGGGGGGAGGAGCACTTGTGACTGTTACAAATTTCAGTTCATAGCGCGAAGTTTGAATCTGCCTTACGACCGGATCATATTAGTGGACTGTGATAGGTGGGTACAGGGAGGGCGGACCACGCAAAACCCTACCTCCCGCCCAGCCGGGCTCTATAAAAGCCGGGGTTCGAGGAACTTAAGTCCTTTTTCGCTGCTCCGGATCTCAGCCTCCAGCCAACGTGGAAGCTGAGCGGCAATTGGCGACTCCAGAAGCGGCAGAAACAGGTAGGTGACTGAAGGAGCTGAAGTGGGTAGTGAAGTGGGAACAATCTTGAAAGCTCATCCTAGTTGAGGAGACTTAATTCAGGAGCGCTGCACACCCTGGGCACTGATTGTCTGCGAACCAGGAGATGGAGATTCTGGGAAAACAGTTTGCCTGTTTGAACTTTTAAAAAAGGGCTTTCGGAAGAAGGGGGTTTTGTTAGCGATATTAACTCTGCTAAATTGAAGATGGGAAATGTGTGAAGGGGTGCAGGGGAATGTGGGAGCCTGAGAGTGAGGCTGTGGGGATGCTGTAGGCCTGAATGGTGGAAGAACTGCCCGGGGAGTGAGGCGTGAGTTGGGGGCGGGGGTGGGGGGGTGGACGGTGTTTGCAGGTGGTCAGTGCCTGAGCTGTGGAAAGCTGGCTGGCTAAAATGGGAATGGGGGGTGGAGGTGGGGGCAGGTGGGGGAGTCGATGCCTAATCTGGCTGGGGGCAAGAAGCGGTGTAAGGGGCGCGCGGCGGGGTGGGGGTGGGGGGTAAATGAAAGAGTCAAAGCCTGGGTGATGCAAGACTGGTTGGGGGTGGGAAACGGGAGTTGGGGAGGGGTCTAGCCCTTGGTGGAAGCTCTCCTCAAGAGAGGAGGCAGGAGGAAGGGGCATGCATGGGTGGGTGCTGGGGAGTGGAGGAATCAATTCCTGATTGGCTGGAAGTGGGAGTGGGGGAGGGGTCTAGGTCTGCCAGCATCAGCCCTCCTGATGAGGAGAGGCTGAACGGACGGGCTGGTAGTCATGGGGTGGTGATTGGAAGATTCGAGGCCTGGTTGGCTGGGAGTGGGGGAGGGGTCTAGGCCTCAGTGGAAGCTCTCCTCAAGAGGGGAGGCAGGAGGAGGGGTGTGGGTGGGGGAGGGTGAGTGGAGAAGTCATTGATTCCTGATTGGCTGGAAGTAGGAGTGGGGAAGGGGTCTAGGCTTCCCTGTGTGAGCTCTTCCTGATGGGGAGAGGTGGAAGCAGAGAGGTGGTGGTCATGGGCGGGGTGACTGGAAGATTGGAGGCTTGGTTGGCTGGGAGTGGGGGAGGGTCTGGGCCTCAGTGGAAGCTCTCCTCATGAGGAGAGGCAGGAGGAGGGGCAAGGGCGGGTGGGGGCTGTGAGTGGAGGAGTCGTCGATTTCTGATTGGCTGGAAGTAGGAGTGGGGGAGGGGTCTAGGCTTCCCTGTGTGAACTCTCCTGTTGGGGAGAGGTGGAGGCAGAGAGCTGGTGGTCATGGGCGGGGTGACTGGAAGATTGGAGGCTTGGTTGGCTGGGAGTGGGGGAGGGTCTGGGCCTCAGTGGAAGCTCTCCTCATGAGGAGAGGCAGGAGGAGGGGCAAGGGCGGGTGGGGGGCTGTGAGTGGAGGAGTCGTCAACTTCTGATTGGCTGGAAGTAGGAGTGGGGGGAGGGGTCTAGGGCTTCCCTGTGTGAACTCCCCTGATGGGGAGAGGTGGCGGCAGAGAGCTGGTGGTCATGGGCGGGGTGACTGGAAGATTGGAGGCTTGGTTGGCTGGGAGTGGGGGAGGGTCTGGGCCTCAGTGGAAGCTCTCCTCATGAGGAGAGGCAGGAGGAGGGGCAAGGGCGGGTGGGGGCTGTGAGTGGAGGAGTCGTCAACTTCTGATTGGCTGGAAGTAGGAGTGGGGGAGGGGTCTAGGCTTCCCTGTGTGAACTCTCCTGATGGGGAGAGGTGGCGGCAGAGAGCTGGTGGTCATGGGCGGGGTGACTGGAAGATTGGAGGCTTGGTTGGCTGGGAGTGGGGGAGGGTCTGGGCCTCAGTGGAAGCTCTCCTCATGAGGAGAGGCAGGAGGAGGGGCAAGGGCGGGTGGGGGCTGTGAGTGGAGGAGTCGTCAATTTCTGATTGGCTGGAAGTAGGAGTGGGGGTGGGGTCTAGGCTTCCCTGTGTGAACTCTCCTGATGGGGAGAGGTGGCGGCAGAGAGCTGGTGGTCATGGGCAGGGTGACTGGAAGATTGGAGGCCTGGTTGGCTGGGAGTGGGGGAGGGTCTAGGCCTCAGTGGAAGCTCTCATGAGGAGAGGCAGGAGGAGGGGCAAGGGCGGGTGGGGGCTGTGAGTGGAGGAGTCGTCAATTTCTGATTGGCTGGAAGTAGGAGTGGGGGAGGGGTCTAGGCTTCCCTGTGTGAACTCTCCTGATGGGGAGAGGTGGCAGCAGAGAGCTGGTGGTCATGGGCAGGGTGACTGGAAGATTCGAGGCCTGGTTGGCTAGGAGTGGGGGAGGGGGTCTAGGCCTCAGTGGAAGTTCTCATGAGGAGAGGCAGGAGGGGTTCGGGGAAGCCCTCCTGATGAGGAGAGGCGGAAGCAGAGGGCTGGTAGTCATAGGCGGAGTGGATGTTTTGAGGCTGGATTGGCTGGAAGTCGAGGCGGGGTCTAGGCTTCCCGGTGCAAGCCCCTGGTTGGCTGCAGGCAGAAAGCCGGAGTCTGAGGGAGTCAGAGGGTGGTGGTTGGCTAGAAGAGTGTGGGGGGTGTGAGGGGTGTGGGGGGTGTGGTGGCCTGGTCCGTGTGAGACTGCTAGGAGCGGGTGTTAGGGAGATGGAGGGGCAGGAGGAGAGGTTAGAAGGTTCAAAACTTGATAAGTAGACTTCTTTGAGATGTGAAGCAGGAGTAAGGGAAGTAAAGGCATTGGGAGAGTGGAGGGCCGGTGTGGGGGTAAGGAAATTTGGGGAAAGAGAGCACTGGACCAGAGACTGAGTAGGCGTTAGTGCATACTAAAACCTTACCACGTGGAGGAATGACCATCTTCCTTGCACATCTGCATAACACGGCGGTTGAGATGACTGTATCAGCTGCTTTGGGCTTTCTCATCGATCGGGGGCAGGGTGGGAGAGAGGTATGGTACTCCTTGTCAGTAATTTTCTCCATCCAGGCTTTCTGCAACAAAGAAATTTAAGTACTTCTCATTTCACAGAGCAAAGTTTTGCTTTTAAATTAGGGTAAAGAGGCTGCTCAGAGCTAAATGCACAATGTATCTTTGTCTTGACTACAGGCAAGAACATGTCCAGAAAAGGGACTGGCCAACTAAAGATTTGGGACAATGATTGGTGAGATCTGAAAAATTCTCTTTTAGTTTAGTTCTACTCTGTTGGCAAAACGGCTTTCTCAAAAAGTATGTTTGTTTTATTCAGAGCCTGTACAGTGTATAACTTGGTTAGTTATAACATGAGAATTATAAAAAGGGATCTTAGAATAAGAGGAATCCAACCTCCTACGCAATACGTTAATTTTCTATATCAGAGGTCCCCAACCTCTGGGCCACGGACCAGTACTGGTCGCAGCCTGTTGGGAACTGGGTGCACAGAGGCGGGCTGCGGCCGAACGAGCAGGCCAGTTTACCGCCTGAGCTCCGCCTTCTCCGCCTCCTCCCGCCCCATGACCATGACCCCGCCCCCTGCAGTTGTTGGAAAAATTGGCTTCCACAAAGTTGGTCCCTGGTACCAGAAAGGTTGGGGACCACTGCTCTATGTCACATCTCTGTTAGTGGCCAGGAACTCACAACTACTAAATAACAGTGGCATTGTTGAATATGTGTACAGGGTAATTTCTGAATTTTTTTTCATGCTGAGGAACTTCAAACCTCCCTTTACATTTCTTCTATCCCATTCATACTGCAGACCTCCAGAGGTATAGAGATGGAGCATTTTTCTCCTCCGTGGTGAGGAGGTACAGTTTTTTAAGATGTGTTATCTCCTCTAAGTCTTCTCCTGGGACACTGTTCTGTTTTCCTCCTTCCCAGACAAGCAAGTATATAATATGGAAGAATATAGAAACCACAGAACACAGAGTCTGGGAAGAGATCCAAATACTTCAAAAATTTTAGTTCATGATAAAAATGATATTTCAAATCAGTGGAGAAAAGGTAGATTAATCAGCAAATGATTTGAAGATAATTGACTGACCATTTGGGAAAAAATAAGAATTGGACTCTTACCTCATTACTCTTATACCAAAACAAATTACACATGGATGAAATATTTTAAAATAAAAATTGAAACCATTAAAAATATTAGAATATAGAGGTGGATTTTATTTCTAATACTTTTGGAGTGGAGAAGGTCTAATTTTGATATTAAACAAAAGCATAAAAATGACATAAGATACAAAATATTTGCATTACCTACAATAAAAAGCTATTTTCCTTAATCTACAAAGAATGTTTATATATCAATTTTATTAATTAATTAGCTTATTTTTATCCTCACCTGAGGACATTTTTTCATTGCTTTTTATATAAAAAGGGAGAGAGGAAAACATTGATGTGACAGTGAAGCATCAGTTGGTTGCCTTCCTTAAGTGCCAGGACCAGTGATCACATATGCCTGGACCAGGGATTGAACCTGCAACCCAGGCATGTGCCTTGGTCAGGAATAAAACCCACAACCTTTGGTTATGGGATGATGCTCCAACCAACTGAGCCACACCAGTCATGGCTACATAGCAATAATTCTAAAAAGGGGAAAAGACAAATAGATAATGGATTATAAGATATATACTCTGGCTGGTGTGGCTCGGTTGGGCATCATCCTGTAGGCTAGGGGGTTATGGGTTTTGATTCCAGGTTGGGGCACATGTAAGAGGTGACTGATCAATGTTTCTAACATCAATGTTTCCCTCTTTCACCTTCCCTTCCCCTCTGTCTAGAATCAATAAAAGAAAAAGAAAGAAAATGGGTAAAAAGATATAGAAGATAATTCTCAGGGAAAAATACAAATGTCTGTAGGCATTAAAATGATTTCAACTTTTTTTAAAAGATTTTATTATTTATTTTTAGAGAGGGAAAGGAGGGAGAAAGAGAGAGAGAGAGAAACATCAATGTGCGGTTGCTGGGGGTCATGGCCTGCAACCCAGGCATGTACCCTGACTGGGAATCGAACCTGCGATGCTTTGGTTTGCAGCCCGCGCTCAATCCACTGAGCTACGCCAGCCAGGGCTTTCAACTTTTAATTATATTTAAAGAAGTGGAAACTTTTAAATGAGATATGATTTTTCATATGTCAGATTAGCAGAGATTTTTAAAAATTTGATCATACCCAGAATTGGCAAATTTATAGGGAAACAGGTGATTTTATGCAGTCATGGTGGGGATATAAATTGGTACAACCTTTTTGGAGGGCAGTCTGGCAATATCAAAATGCCCACATTTTTTTTTTAACCCAGTATTTCTGTTACCGGGACTTTTTCCTTTAGAACAATTTTATTTAATTTCTGTATACATATACTTACATAAGTACATAAATGTGGTCATAGCATACACGCTCTTTTTGTAGTTGACTTATTTTCTCTCAATTCCTTTCCCCCTTTCCCATGTCCCTTCTCCCGGTAATTCATGTTCATTTAATCACCTGCAGACATACACAGATTGTTCTGGCCTTTGTTCAGTTCTGTGGAAGAAGGATATATGGCTTAATTACCAGTACACAGATGAATACATACAAGGATATTCACTGCGGCATTGTTTGTAATAGCACTAATGTGGAAGAAGCTTAAATGTCCTAAGGGTATAATTGAATAAATTATGGTTCATCCAAAAAATGTGACAAGAGCTATATATACTGATAATGGAGAGACTACTAAGATATAGCAAGTGAAAAATTGCAAGCTGCAGAACAATCCATACAGCATAATACTATTTTTTTAAGATTTTATTTATTTATTTTTAGAGAGGGAAGGGAGGGAGAAAGAGAGAGAGAGAGAGAAACATCAATGTGTGATTGCTGGGGGCCATGGCCTGCAACCCAGGCATGTGCCCTGACTGGGAATCGAACCTGGGATGCTTTGGTTTGCAGCCCATGCTCAATCCACTGAGCCACGCCAGCCAGGGCGCATAATACTATTAAACAAAAGTTGTGTGGCCCTGGCCGGGTAGCTCAGTTGGTTGAAGCCTTGTCCTGTACACTAAAAGGTTGTGAGTTAGATCCCCCATCAGGGCGCATTTGGGAGGCAACCAATCAATGTTTGTCACTTTGATCTCGATCTCTCTGTCTCTGTCTCTGCCCCCTTACTCTGTCTAAAATCAATAAACATATCCTTGGGTGAGTATTAAAAAGGAAAGTTGTGTGCATTTGACTTGCGTTGGTATGTGCATATGCTTAAGAACTTTCTACAAGAATAAATAAAATACACTGTTTAGGGAGTGGGACTGTTGAAAGAATAGGCACAAAGTGTCCCTCTTCCTCACTCTTCAGTGTTCTTTATCAGTCACAAAACTGGTAAACATTATTTTGTGATAGTCATTAAAATGGAGATTAACAAAAGAATTCAGCAAACAAACTGTATTCCATTATGTAAATGTACTAGCTTTTTTACACACTTGTCTGTTGATGGCCGCTCAGGTGGCTTCCATAGCTTGGCTATTGTAAATAATGCTGCAATAAACATAGGGGTGTATATGGGAAGAGAGGGAGAAAAACATCGATGTGCAAGAGAAACATTGATTGGTTGCCTCTTGCACGAGCCCTGACCAGGGACCGAACCTGCAACCCAGGATGTGCCCTGATGGATTCGAACCAGCCTCCTTTTGCTTTGCGGTACGATGCCCAACCCACTGAGCTACACTGGCCAGGGCTCTGTTGTATAACTTTTTGTGTCATGTTTCTAATCCTTTAATCCTTTTGCCCAACTTCTAAAAAATGTGTGTGTCTTTGTGTAACACAGAAAATAGTTGAAGTATAGGGTTTAATTTGTGTACATTGCTTTTTATCAATAGGTTTCAACGTAACCAAGGTTGCATTTTGACCAAAACCTAGGAAAGCTTACACCTAGCAAAATTGTTGTTCTTGATTTAAAAAACAAAGCAAAACAACTTGAAGCCTTACTACTTATTACTACTTAATAAGTCCAGTGTACAGTGATGAATAAATGAATAGGAAAAAAACTGAAAAGGCGTACAATCAGTCAAGTAATCAACCTCATGGCTAAAATAGAAGTCTCCAAGAAGTGGTTAAGGCTACCTTTCCATATGTAAAACCTTGTGACTATTATGTAAAACCTTATAAATATTATGTAAAGCCATATAAATACATGTAAGCCCTTATAACTATTATGTCCACCTTCTTTAGCACTTGTGGTGTCTTCGGTGAGCTCTGTCACAATAACTAATGCTAAGATGACCTATGATTATGTCCTAGGATGTAGCTGGTTTCAGCATTGCAGCATGACTTCTCCCAGCTGGATTTTGGATCTTTATCGGGCATGGCTGATGATGGGATATCCAGTCAGCTGCTATCTGGTGTGCTTTGGCTTCACCACAGGCTGCCACTGGATGGGGAAGAATGAGTATGAGGGTCCTGGCAAATTGTGAGGCAGAGAAGCCACAGGCCCTAACATCATAGCTCAGGGCAGAGCACACTGCTCCCCAGGAAGTGCACTGCAGCCTTTGTGTGTTTACCTAGATACTAGTCCCAATGTAGGTGGAATTAGGTTCTTGCTTGGAATCACAAGGAAAGCGTTCCACGGACCCACGCATAGGAGATTGTGGTGTGGCATGGTTTATCTGTGTGGAAATAGAAGGTGCCCCTGGGGTTTCGATGTCCCATTTCCCTCTGTCCCACAGTGGATAAGGTTCAATCTTGTCCTCAGTAGGGTCAACAGAAAAGCCAGTGTCCAGAGTTTCTGTTTCCTGTTAAAGCTTAGTCTTTTGGAATCTGCAGGCAGCTGCTAAGCGGTCTCAGTCCCCATCTAGGTAGCTTAGCTTGTTCCCAGCTGCCCCGGTGGCGGAGTCCACGTGAGTCTGTAGCAACTGCTATGGCCACATAGCTATAGAGTGAGAACGCATGAGCACACAGGGTGAGGGCATCACTGAGTGGGCAAGAGAGACAGAGCACTTCTCATTTCCCCTGGGATTATAACTGGGAGCTTGGGTTTGGGTCGGACCAGGTGCCTTTTCAAAAGAACCAGTCGACTCCCCAGACTTGTGTGGACCTTGGATGGGGTTACACTCCTTAGTGGGACTGACAGGCCTCTTTGGTCTGGCACCTCCTTCTGTGCCCCCCAACAATCTGGTTCTGGAGAGGGGAGGGGGGGGGTTGATCTCCTCCTTGGAGCAATGCTGTAATTCCCTGGGGTGTGAAGCTGTAGCTTCCTGGCTAAGCAAGCAAACACATTTATGTTCCCCATTTTGTTAAGCTTAATGTCTAGTTCCCTTTGCTCCCCCTTTCTAGCTAAATACTGGTGGTAGCACTGATAATAGTTCCTTCAAGCAGTTAGGTTCCAAAAGATGTCCTTCTTGTTGTTGCGCCCTTTTCATTTTTAAACTGTGTTCTCTTCATCCTTAAGTCCTTTCCCCTGTGGTTCTTTTCTCAGAATTCACTTTTATATCTTTATTTTTTTTTATCCTCACCCCAGGACATTCTTTTTTTCATTGCATTTAGAGAGAGAGGATGGAAGAGAGAGGGAAACGTCGATACAAGAGAGAGAAGCATTGATGGGTTGCCTTCCGTACGTGCCTGGACCAGGGATCAACCTGCAACCTAGCCATGTGCCCTGACGGGGAATCGAACCAAGAACCCTTCGGTTATGGGATGATGCTCCAACCAATTGAGCCACACTGGCCAGGGCAGAAGTTACTTTTATGTCTTTAAATAGAAAGAAATCATTAGGCAGAAAACAGACTTCTCACTGATAGCTAATGATACTCAAATAACATTTTCCCCCTGTCTTTGATTCTCTGATAAAGACCAGGTTACTTCTAATTTTTCTTAATTTCATAAGCCCATTGTGTTCCTAATTTCATAAGCCTTTAAAACCAGTTTGCACTTTAGAAACTATGATTAGGTGTTCTCCTCATTTGAGAATTTTGACATTTAGTTGCTGACGATCTTTGTAGTTTTCCTTTAAAACAATATTTATTTTATTTTCGCTATAGCATTCTTGTGGACTCAAGCAGTGATGAAGAACCTGATTCCTGTAAGTAGACTGCACTCAAAACAGTCATTTGCATTTTACAGTGTAATTTAACCATGTCTTTGTACAGATGACTGAAATGTGATTTGGGAAATTGAGTGTCAGCTGGTCCTGGGTTTGTCTCTTGTAGGGCTCTCTCTGGAAGTTCCTTATGCTCCTTTTCTAGTTTTCTTCCTTTACCTTTTTCATTCTAGGTCTCCTTACTTTTATTTCTGTATCTCTCATGGGACATACACAAATCCACCATCAATTTCAACCAGCTCCAATTTGTGGCCTTTGGTTTTAGAGAGTTAAAAACATGGGTAAGCAGATTTTGTCATGCTTCAGGTCCTTTCTGATGCCCTGTTTCTCTCTCTGATTTAGTCGTTGCCAGAAGGACCATGAGGAACGGGAGTGTGAGGTAAGTAGGAGAATTAGTGAAATTTGCTCTTTCTTAAGGAACAACGTTTTGGGTAAGATTTCAGAATAGACATAATTTTTCCTCTGTGAACACTGTGTTCAGGGTCATAATGAGTTCAAAATATTAGATTCCTTAATTCTGGCCCATTATCTATCAGTCAGATTTTCCTTCAAAATGTCTGTGAACCATCCCTTCTAGTCTCTACCATGAAGGCGCCGATCAATTTTTATTCTCATGTTAGTGCAAGAGTTGTTGTTTTTTTTTTTTTCCAAGAATTGGGGAAGAGCTTTATGATGATGGTAATAACAGGCAGTAGATCTCTGAGTGTTGTTCCTGCTTTTAAACTCAGGGTCAATTACAGATTGTAGGAAATGTAGCTCAGGATATCCTGAAAAAATGGAGCCATTGGCAACAGAACCATTTACAAGGTGGAACACATTTTAACTCCAGCTTTCTAGTGGAGAAAATAAGTAGATTCAAGGAGATCCATACTTGAGAATGCTGACACAAATGTTAGCAATAACAAACTAAAGTGCAACAGAGAAAAGCATATTGAAGTAACTCAAGTAGTGGAAGTATGTTCTGGTTAGATTGCAGCAGTAGGGTTGAGAAGCGTTTTCTTTTTTTTAAGTGGCTCTTCCCCTTGATTTCTTCTTCTGATCCAGCCTGCGTCCCACTTCCAGATTAATTTCCAGAGGCGCTGCTTTGGCCATATCGATGCCCTGTTTAGATTGCTTGTCACAGGAAAATCAGAGTGTTTATCCCAATAGTTAAAGTCCTCTGTGGTCCGACCCTCTCCTCTCTTTCAGCATCATCTGCTACTCTTCTTGTTAAGGAGCCCTCTGATCTAGCTGGAGCTAGATGAACAGGTGTTGTCCAGGTGCCAAACTAAAGGAGGTGCTAAAATAATTACTGGAACAAATCCAAAATATGCTGCTAGATGACTGTGGTTTCCACATTGACTCCTTAAATTTCTGTAGAAATGTGAATTGGTCATCCCTGTCCTCCCCTTCCCCACCACCAAGCTAAATAGCACTGTCAAGCAGGAAAATTGTCTCTAGCTAGCTCTGATTTATCTCCGCTGATTGTTTTGCAGCATGTAAGTGGTCAGGCATGACACCAGTGTGTGAAAAGTGATTTGAAGCCAGTAGTTGCAAGCAGGTGAAAGGCTAGAGCCAAATAATGCATTGCTTATATGCAAATAATGCTTTTAATGCTTTAAAGCCATTTATTGGAAATGATGGGTTTTATTATTTATCCTTAAGAGGTTTGGTTTACACACAGCAAAATTCACACTCTTTACACGTACAGTTTGATGAATTTTGACAAAATTCACATACTGTATTGTGTACTGTAGTGTAACTGACACCACGATCAAAGATGAAGAATACTTCCATCACTGTCATTTATATTTTAAATAGTTTATCACGGACCCTGAGAAGTAGTCTGGTTTATAGTATTATATATACTAAAGTCCTTATTTGATAAATTAAAAAGTATCCCATTTTTAGATAGAAAAATTGCTTTCTTCCTGCCTCTACTAGACTAAATAAGTAAAGAAAATCTGTTTTAAGGGGCCTGCTGGGAGTGCCCACAGGTCTTGGTTCAGTGCCAGGCGGCTTCTCTCTATAGGGTACTGTAAGAGAGGTGGATTTGGGGAGGAAAATGATGAGTTCGGCTTGGGGCATGTTAAAATTAAGGGGCCTGTATAAGGCAGGGCTGATATTCAAAACATTTACCAGCCAATAGAGTACAGACAGGGAGTAGGCAGGATGGCTGGCTGAGTGGCCAGAACAGACACCATCAATCTACAGTCGGGAAGGCTATTTCTGTTCATGCTGACGAAAAATCAGCGACATCCAGGTAGGAAATTGGAATTGAGGGGCTAAGAGTCAGAAGCAAAGTTGGGTTGGCTAGAATGGATTGGGCCGGCAGATAGATGATGCTTACCCAGACCCGAGGAATTGATCGGGTAGGTATGAAAGGGCTGTGGCTGAACTTCTGGGGGTGAGTTGGAGAAGGAGTGGCTGGAAAGTTAAGAAGAGAACCGACAGAACAGTATCGTGGAAATCAAGAAAAGAGAAATTTTAAGGTCAACAGGATAGCAAAAGCCCATCAATTTGGTAGCTTAAAAGTGGTGAATGTGGTGGAAACAGATGGACAGATTTGTATCTGTAATAGGTGTAGACAAGTCCTCTAGCTGTCCTCATCATAAAGGTGTATCAGGCTTATTGTAGGCTATTTGGCAAATACAGAGAGGTGGCAAATTTCAACCTTCCAGAACCTCTGGCCCAAACACTGGGGCCAGCTGAGGGCCCCAGATGGGTACATGTTTGGCACCAGCACCCTGGGTGGCGCAGGGGCGCTGCTGAGGCCGGTTCCTGCCAGAGCAGTCTGTCAATGAGGGCAAGGGGTGCTGGCTGCGGAGAAACCTGCCCTCTGCCCTTCTCAGGCAGCTGGATCTCAACATCGATACAGAAAAATGGCGATTAACTCGACATTTCCCTATACAATTTCCCCCTGCACCCAAAGTGTTTGAATGCATACCCTCTGGCAGCCCATTTCGTGCTCAGTACTTGACAGATACCTCTTTTGGAAAGCATTGAGACAGATGGAAAGATTGAGTAGAAAGATGGAAAGTCAGGAATATGACTGAGTAGTTAAACAGAGTTGCTGCGGGAAAACAAACGAACACAACATTTCAAAAATGATCCCAGTCGTTGTAGAAAAGGGAGAAAATGTCATGAAAAGAATGTCGCATTCATGCTTCTCTTTGGCGTTTCCCCATCTCACCCTTCAGTTTCCAGGTGATTGACTTGGACACAGATGATGATGATGCTCCACCCCCTGAGAAACAGCAAAATACCTCCAAAGTCACTAACCAAGGCAAGTATACCCCAGCCTTAGGGAAGCGGCTGAGCTCAGCTCTGCTGGCTCGTCTGTCTCCCACAGGCATTTTGGGATAAGCCAGCCAGTGTTCTGTTCTGCCACCATTTCTTTCCTCCTGTGTGCTGGGTAGTGGATGCAACTGGATGCCCACAGCCCTTGGTAGATTTCCTAACACAGCCGCAACTGTTCTGCTGCTGCCTCAGACCACGGGCATTTCTCTCCGTCCACTTCTCATCTATGTCACAGTATATCAAGGGATCAGAGGGAAGAAAGTCAAGTCCAGGGACTGAGGAGAATGAAGGCAGGCTGCTCTGCTCCTCCCCCTTCCACCTTTCTTCCTTCTCTCTCCATGGGAGTGACAAAGAGGAGGAAGGAGGAGTGAGGGAGTGGCACACGCTCCTTCCTGTGTGATGGAGCCCTGGGTGGGTGATGGCCGTGGGCCAGCAGGCAGTGACTTCTAGGGCAACCATGCTTTCTCCATCTATCTCCTTGTCTTTGCCTTTTGCGAATCCCTTTATACTTTCTGGAGGTTCCCGTTTTTCTCACAGCCTGTTTCCTGCAGCAAACCCTTGCTTCTTTGGATTCAGAGGTCCTTTTAGGCTTGTGGGAGACGTGGAACTTGACTCCCAGCTCAGAACCTCCTCAGTAGATGTGAAATGTAGGAAGACTAGGAGCTTCTTAAGCATCAGGGATGCTAGTTTATTTATCTTTGTTCATTTAGTACAAGGGGTAGGCCATGATGCCTAGGTGCCTATTTAAAGTACTGGCTATTTTGGTAACGACCCAAGAGCTACTGTTTGCTAGAGTTTCCTAGCTAACCTGGGATATCAGAGCAGGGGAAGGAGAGGTGACTTAGAACCCTAGTCTGCCGTTTCACCACCTGTCCACTCGAATTTCATTTCTTTCTCCTTTTCTCTAGCTGCGCCTGAGCAGGACGGCGCTCCAGGTGCTGAATACGAAGGGAGCCCCCAAGAAGGTAACTGTAGAGCACGAATGAGTGACAGAGCCAGAACCCAATTCATCGCCATGGGCCATCACGTGCTGACTCTTTAAGTCAGAAGACCCATAGTCTTTTGGGGGTGAACTTGCAGCTCAGGCTGCTCTTGCCTCTCTGACCAGTGGACCGTAACTGTGGGCATCCGCTGCAGTCTTGGAGGGATGAAGAAGGCTCCGATGGACTTTCTTTGTCTCTACTCTTGTCCCTGTGCCATATCCTTTGTTACTGTAGTGAATTTTGATGTTTTTACAGAGAAAAAAAGGGTCTGAGGAGCTTTAACACATACTTCTAACCGCATGAGGTCATCTTTAGGGATTGTAAGCAGTGTGTCCTTCCTGTTTTTTGTCTTTAAAATTTGAACTGCAGGTGGGAAATCTTAAAGTTTTTGAGGCAGAATTACTTTTTACCATAGGAATTTCCACTCCTTTCTCTTTCCTTATTACATGTCTAAAGTTCTTTGATAATTAATTCAAATACTGTATTTTGCTTTGCATAATGCACAGCCACATTTTTGTGCACATTCATACATGGGATTATTATACCCATGCTAAGTAATCATTATACCCACGTATAATGTGCATCTTTATTTTTCCCTCAAAAATTTGGGCCCAAAAGTGCTCATTATACACAGTAATAGATGAGCAGCTCATACATTCTCCCAAATCTGCAATTTTACTGTAATTTTTGCACCATAAATATGTTTTCACATCTTGCCTATGCTCTGGTTTATATTTTTTTTGCATCCAGGATCATAGAAACCTGGAAACTCAGGTTTGAACAGACTCCTGAGAGCATGTGGTGTTAGACATGCTACCCCTCATTTTCAGGTGCAGGGGACATTCACCTGAGGGCGGTGACCTTCCGAATGTTCCCAGGGCCCCTCAGCGTCTTACATCAGTGTTTCTGAGTGCTTTGCACTTACAGACTAGTGAGAAAGTGAAATTGTGGTAGCAAGCATACAATTGCCAATTTTTAATTTGTACGATGATGGAAATATACTCCAACTATTATCTACTATCACCATAATTTTATAAAGTAAAAAGCATCGAAAATTTCGTGAGGACCTAATCTCAAACTGAAGGACAGTCCTTTAAATTACAGAAATTGAACCTGATGGGAACAAACCCACTCTATTGTTCTATTGTCTCTTATTTTCCCATGGACCAGTGAAAATATGCAAGTCTGCAGAGCTGCTGTGTTTGGGAACCTCTGAGCACCTACATCGTGCTGTTCAGAGAATGTCATTTGAAAATTGCCACTGGACTTGGATTGATGTTTTATCTGGCCCTGCTCTCTGTAAAGTAACAAACTAATAGAGGGAAAATAATCTCGAATAACTGATTCTTAACTGTGATTCATAATGCAACAGTTCCCTGCTTGTTTAATTTCTGCTCGATAATCCAGTTGAATGTCTCAGGGGTGGGGGTGGAAGAAATCTGCTTATATGTGACTGTGCCTCTTGAATTTCAGATGAGATGCTGGAATCGTCTTCTGATAGTCTTACAAAGTTTGTGGAACAGGAGATGCCGATAGTTATCACCAGTGATGATGATAGTGATGTGGATGTTCCTGTGATCATAGAAGATAGTGCCTCCGATGACGACCAGATGGCCTCAATTAAAAAGGAGATGATGCAGTTTACTATCTCTCCCCGTAATTCATCTGATACTCCTAGCCAACCACTAAGTGGAAGTCCCAGCCAGCCACTAAGTGGAAATCCCAGCCAACCATTAAGTGGAAATCCCAGCCAGCCACTAAATGATCCTGAGGCTAAACTAGAGATTCCAGGTGAAAAGATGCCAGCTGATGGAGAGGCTCTACCTGCGGTGGACCAACCAAAGAAAAGGAAGTGTAAAACCAAACATTTATGTGTGCCACCTGGTAAGCTTGTCAACCCAAGTACCCCCGTCCCCTGACCCTCCCCCCCAAATGTGCCCGGCCCACCCAGTGTGCCAGCTGTGTCTGACTTGTCCTTTGCCCTGAATTTGTCTGTCTTGTTGGGTCTGCCTTCTCTGCCTCCCAGCCCCGTGCCATTTTAGCAGCTGCCTGGTAGCCAAGGGAGGCCACCATCCCAATGAAGGTCTTTCTAGGAATGGGTGGGGGGAGCGGGAACACCCAAGTCTTAGTATTCACCATTCCATCTGCCTGGAGTGCTTTGTCCCTGACCTCTTTGTCCCAAGGATATCTCATTTTCCTGAGGACCCAGCCCTGTTGTTTCCTGTAAGAAGCGGTAAGTCAGAGTCACTCCTTCTTCCTGGGTTCTCATGGTTCTTAGACCCCGCCTCTGTTAAAGCACAACCGAATCTGCCTCCCTGGTAGACGGTGAGCCTCTTGGTTGGAGTGCAGTTACTGGTGTTTCCATCTCTCCCAGGGTCTAGCATGGTGTTTGGCACGAAACGGATGCTTACTAAATGTTTTAAATGAATGCATGTCACTACTGATACATAAGTCACTGACTAGAGCCACCGGCAGCATGGGTGCTAGATAATGGTGGGAAGATCTGGCTTTCCTATTGGGTGAAGGTGCTTCTTAGGACAGGAGCTGCTTTGCTCAGAGCAAGCATGTGAGAGAGGCCATGCCACTCCTTATACTGGTCACGCCTTAGCTGCCCTCACAGTCCAACCTGGACACTTGCTCCTGTGACCTCATTATAGGTCTCAGGGCCTGTGACGGAGTCCTACCCAGTTTATTCCACTGGCAGCTCTGCGTCACAGGTGTAAAATCTTTCATGCTGACAGAGCAGCATGCAAGCTTCAGACTGACAGTTGTCACTTGCAGATGTTGCCCAGGACTTGGCTGTGGGGGCTGCTCCTGGGTTTCTGCCAGTTGCTTGATGGGACCAATTTTCAGGGAGCAAATGAACTGTTATCTCTTTGATTGTTATCCCTTCAGCTGTTGTTAAAGGACAAAAGCGGACTCGGTCTTTGGAGGAAGTTCCGCAGCCACAGCCAAAGAGAAAGCGGACTAAGCCAGCTAAGTCTACTTCCAAGAGAAAGGGGACTGAGTCAGCTGATCCTTCTTCCAAGAGAAAGCGGGCTGAGCTTCCTTCCAAGAGAAAGCGGGCTGGGCTTCCAAAGAGGAAACCCCGAGCAGAGAAATCTCCACAGCCATCTCACGAGCATGAGCATGAGCACAAGCATGAGTATGTACTGTTTTGTTTGTGTTCAACCAAACAGGAATTGATCGCCTGATTGTCAGATGTTAAGCAGCCCACTGAGCACATGTCAGGGGATTTAAGGGAGTGAAGGAGTCTGGTGGGGGACGGGGACAAAGTTTCCATCCCTGAATTGGGAAGGCATAAGCAGGAGGTGGCTGTGACTGCTCCCCGCTGCTGCCCTCCTCACTTTCCCCTAACAGAACTGGGCAAAGACCCCTTCAGTTCCCCAGGCAACGGTGGGGGGGGGCTTCTGCTCCCACAGCAGCTCTGGCCTCTGAGGTTTCCTTTGCCTTTTAACTTGGGTTAAAGAGTGATGTGTAAGCAAACAAGATACTCTTTTTCTTCAGCCTCGTGGCTACCAGTTTGCCGTAAACCAAAGCAAACTCAGCGGCAATGGTGAGAAGGCAGAATGGGCATGTTCCAATCCTCTGGAATCGGAGGGAGGGCAGAGTCAGGATTGTCTTCCAGGTTTTTCTGGTGCTTTGCATGAACTCAGTTAGTCTCACTACTTGTTTGTGTTCTTGCAGGATTTTTGAGCTTTATTAGATATTAGGATGAAATAGATTGTAGTTCCTCTATTTTTATTAAGCTGTATGTAATTGATACCGAAAACAACAGGTCGTTTAGACCAAAGGCATGCTAATACTTGCAGGAAGCGAGGAATTAATAGGTTTTCTCATTTACATTCCAGAAACTTCTCAGTTTGTCCCTTAATAACATGATGTAGCAAACAGAATTTCCTTCCTTTGTTTTTACTTGCATTTGGGAGTAATATATACTTAAGATGTTTGTCTTACAAGAGAGGGGGAAAACATTTGAAGGATTGTCTGTTTATTGCTTCACCTGTATTATTTTGGGTCCATAAATGCATCTGAAGGGGAGAAGAATGATGCGTCGAGCACTGGGCAGCGGAGCAACTTGGGCCTAAGCAAAGAGGCTCTGGCTCTGAGCTTCTCGCCTGGCGAGGTAGCTGACAGCAGTTTGGCTTGTTCTCCATTAAGGTGGCTCCCCTTTCAGCAAACTTTCTCGCCTGGATTCCCAGATACCTCTCTAATCTGCTTTGCCTATAGGAATGTGTGTTTTGGGTTGCTCCCAGGTTGCTTGACTGGCGAGTGTAACAAAAGAAGAGAGAAGCTCCCCTTTTGACATTGTGCTCTGCATCATGCAAGGGAGGCTAGCCTGTATGGACTGCTGCTCCCTGTTGCTGTGGTACTTCCTGTTTCAGTCTCTGGGCTTCCTGTTGTGCTTAGCGTTGTACCTGTGGGGGCTGCTTACTGGTCATGTTTCCATGTGGGGTCTTGTTGACTCCTCTGATGTGGAGATGCTCAGCCTGCAGTAAAGTGGCACAAACATTGAGGTAAAAGTGTGCTAAGCCACAAGGCCCACTTGATGTGTGTACAAACATGCAGGGTCCTGTTCTCTGCAGAGGTCTGCAGATGGCTCAGGTATTCATCTGTTACCTTTTCTGATGCATACTTGCTTTCCGAACTAAGTAACTCGAGGCAGAAATACTCGTCCTATCAGGCCTTGGGATGAAGAACCTTCCTTTAGCCATGTTTGCCTGATCGGGTCCTTTTTCCCTCTCTCTATCCCAGCCACCTCACACGGGGTTTATTTTGTGGTTTAAGGGTTAATGAGTGTCCTGTTAAGTCAGAAACTCACTTCCCCATGTATGCTCCTGTTTTTTTCTTTCCAGCTCTGTGGCTCATCTCTTTGGACTTGGGAAGTGTTCCAGCCAAGATAAAAACACTTCAGTGTCAATAAATAGGTACTGCAAGTGTCAGTCCTTCATGTGTGGAGCACTACTTTTTGTGCACTTAAATTAGGGCCTTAAAAAGTGGGGCAGCAATAGTAGTCTAATGGAAAGACCATGAGATTGGTGGCAGAAGATTGTGTCTCTGTGAACTTCGCATAACTCACAACCTTTGAGCTTCAGTTTCCTTCTCTGCAAAGTGGAGATCATAAGACTGGTGATGGTTTCTTTGCAGGGTGGTTATGAGGATTGGCTGTCACGATGCAAAAGGAAGTTCTTGGCAGATTAGAAAGTGCTATACAGAGAGTCGTTCTCGGTGCAGATATGGTCATTCTAGGCTATGGGCAAATAGGTTGTACCGAAGCCCAAAGGAACTGTGGCATGTTTGAGTGGCCCACTTTGGCCACAGTGGGAATGGCAGCTGGAAATAGACATCAAGACTAGCTTGCCCTGGGCCTTGATCACCAGGCCAAGAAGTCAGTGGGACATAATTGGGATGTGACTGAGGAAAATTAATCTAGAGGTATGGCTGTGGGTTCCGTTAGAAGAAAAAGAGTATGAAGGCAAGGGACACGGAGGAATGCTGTCATATCCTGCAAAAAGGGAAGGACAGGAACTTGATCTAGGGTGACTGAGGTGCAGGATGGACGAGGCGGTGGGAAGGAGACAGCAGTGTGTCTTTGTGCATAATCGGGTCTAGGGTAAGGGAGGAATGAATGAACAAATGTCTGAGGTTTTTGGCCTGTTAAAACCCAAGTTGGATCATTGAACACACTGAGCCAGAGACGTGTTCATGTCAGTCAGTTGGAAAATTGCATCAGACAGTTACTTGTAAACTCAGAACTGGGTCTCAGGGGAGAGATGGAGACTAAGGATGGAGGCGCGGGATCACTCCTGTTGAGGCTGAAACCATGGGCTTCACATCTCTGACAATATGCGAGGAGTGAAAAGCAAAAGGCTATAAATAGAACCTTGGGAAACGCTCTCATATAAGGAGTTGTTAGGAGGAGGGACTAGCAGGTTTTCCAAGTCTCTCTTGACCTATATGTATGCAGTTCTTCTATGTATTTGTTTAGCCATACAAGATTGGTTTGAATTTCCTTTTGCAGGAATCTTAATTGCAACATACCTGGATGTTTTTTGCGTGACATTGAAAAGCTGAAGGAGTATACTGGAAGGAACTTCAAGAGAAATAAAGATGAACTGGTCAGGAGACTGTATGTCCTGTTCAATGAGACTGTCTTTGATAAAAAGGTAAAATCAAGAAAGATGCCCTTATTGAGTACCTGCTGTAGGCCCAGCACTCTTGGGTGTCGTGAGGTGTGCAGATATGCTAACTGTATATTTCCTGTCCTTGAGAAGTGTCAGTCTAGGTGGGGAGATAAGATGTACTCATGTAAAAGTGAGAACGTGTGTGGGTTATAATATACAGTACAGGCTGTTATTGCCACGGGAGGTCAGCAGAGGGGGAAATCACTGAGTGCCTGAGTGGTCAGGAAATAAGATTGCTTGGAGGAAGTGAGAGTCTTTCTGGTTCTTGAAGGATGATAAGCGGAGAAAAAAACAGTGATGGGGAAGAAGGCAACTGAGGCTTGACTATCTGGAAGAGGGGGTTCCTGTTGAAGTATAACATAACCTTGGGCAAGGGACTTAAGTCCTTTTAGCCTCAGTTCTCTTGTCTGTAAAATGGGGACAATCAGAGTACCTCCTACTTCATAGAATTATTGTTTGCCCTGGCTAAGTGATACACCTGCAGGGCCTTCTTAGAACAGGACTTGCCACATAGCAACACACATTAGCTCTTTTTTGGGCGGAGGGATAGTGTAGGACTAGATCATGGAGGGCCCTGGGAATCAGCTTGGAGGAGCTTAAATTGACATGAGTAGGCACCACTGCACAGGGACGCGATATGAAGTGGCTGCTGAAAGAAATTAATCACTTAGAAGCAGGGGTGCCCACGAGATTGGAGAGGACCTTGAAGCAGAAAGATAGACCCTTGGGACATTACATTTTTCAGGCTTGATCACCTCTGCAGGAAAAGTTCTACTGGTCTAAAGGTTCCCTATTCTTTGGTGCCCTTCCTGATGCCACATCAGATGACTGTTGAGTGGAACCTTAAGTTCCGAGTTGCGTTTTCAGTTGTGCTATGGCACTCTCATATAAGGGTCACGTCCAAGTCAGCTGGCTTGTCCTTCTCTCCTTGTCCGCCCCTGGCTTGGTCTCCATGCCAGGGGACACAAATCCTGCGCGCTCTCCAGGGCTCTCTGAGCAGTCCCCCTCATGTCCTGATGGCCTGCTAGTTGTCCTTACCTGGGTCTCGGCTTGGCTTTTATTCTCTCCAGAATGTTTTGATTTGCAAAACTCTTGAGTTAACGTTTTCTGGCCCACTTAGAACTGCTTGCTGACTCCCTGTTTGCTTGTCTTTCTCAGCTGCCAGAGAAACTGGAGATCTGCTGGAATAAGAAGATGCTGAGAACCGCTGGCCTATGCAGCTCTACCCACTCGTCTAAAACAGCAAAGCGCCAAACTAAGATTGATATTTCTCTGAAAGTCTGTGACTCTGCAGGTAATGGCAGGAGCATGGCAGCTGTCCCGATGGGCTCTTTCCTTCTGACACGACGCCTGCTGAGTTACGTTTAGGTGCTGGTATTCTCTGGCAGCCCACATCACAGCTCTGCGTATCATTCCTAGGGGGACACACCTACTGTGTGTTGCTTAGAGGACACTATTATTGGATGTCTCACCATCCCTGGGAGTCCCACTTGTCCATCTTTCTAGTAGGCCTCACTTTCTGTCCACAGCTCCCTGTTGCCTGCAGCAGCAGCTCCCTTCTCCCAGTAACTGAGGTTCGAGGTTGCCTCTATCTGTCTAGCCAATCACCAACTCTTCATAATGACTCTGCTGTCATTATCCATTGTCTGTCTTTGACTCTGCCCAGGTTATGGGCCCTCATCACCTCCCTCTTCTCCCTGCCACGTTCAGTCTCCTGCATAATGCATTGTTTTCCTGCTAAGAAGCCTACAGCTGGCCAGTGCCTAGAGCCTGGCTTTCGGGGCCATCCTAGTCTGCCTCTCCACCTCTCACCTCTCAGCCAGTCTTGATTCCCACTGCTCCACCACCAGCCTGTGCTCCTGCAAGGCTGGCTTCCCACTGGCTTTTAGAATGGACTCTACGCTTTCCTGACTTCCACCTTTGTTCGCATTGTTCACACCTAGAATGGCTTTTCTAATTTTGCAAGCCCACTGCATTGTGAAGGGCCCAGCTCAGGGCCCAGCTCAGGTCCCAGTTTCTCCATGGCAGTATTCTATTTTTGTATATATACATATTTTTTTTAAGATTTTATTTATTTGTGTTTAGAGAGGGGAAGGGAGGGAGAAAGAGAGAGAAACATCAATGTGTGGTTGCCTCTCACGTGGCCCCCACTGGGGATGTGACCCGCAACCCAGGCATGTGCCCTGACTGGGAATCAAACCTGTGATGCTTTGGTTCGCAGTCCACGCTTAATCCACTGAGCTACGCCAGTCCATAGCACTATTCTTGATCAGATCCCGTGGCCCTGGTGATTGCTCCCCACCCTGCCCACTTATGGTCCCGGAGAGTGGAAAGCTGGTCTTGGCCGGATGTGTTTCTGACAGTGATGTCCCACAAAAGATGAGCAGGTTGGAGCTGCTCCGAAAACACTCACCCACCCCAGGTTCTCTGCATTGACCATATTGGCTGGAAGTGGGTGGAAATTTTACTTTCAGAACCTTGGGAAGATAACACTCACTCCTGCTTCTTCCTGTGCTTACCTGTGATGGCTTTCTGTCTGGTGAGGTGGAGAGTCCAGGGCAGGTTGGGTAGTGACTTGAAAGGAGTTGGTTGAAGTGCTCACGGTTTCTTTTTATTCCTCTTCCAAGACCGAATCCGGGATACTTTGGCCCATGAGCTCTGCCACGCAGCCTGCTGGCTGCTGAATGGCATCCGTACTTCACACGGTTACACATGGAAATACTATGCCAGGAAGTGCAACTTGGCCCATCCAGAGCTGCCCTTGGTCACCCGTTTCCATAACTACAAGATTAACTACAAGATTTACTATGAGTGCACTCGGTGCAAAGCCAGGTAAAACCCTTCTCAGACTTTCCCCAGTGGTGTTTTTTACCGTAGCTTCCAAGTGGCTCTTCAGTGATTCTATTGACTATCTGACTTGACAAGTAAATAAGACCTCTCTGCTCCTTTCACATGCTCTTTTCTCCAACCACTCCTACTCTGAGCCAGCCTGACTGCTGCTGCTGCTTTGGTGCCCCGCTCTCTGAGAACCCCCAGAAAAGTCTGCCTTTGAGCCCAAGGCCAGCTGTTAAAGTGACTGACCCTTTGCTGTGTGCTGTCGCCTTCCTGTTTAGGATTGGCCGCTACTCCAGATCACTGGACACCGAGCGCTCTGTGTGTACCTCATGCAAGGGCCGTCTGGTCCTGCTGCCGTTATTTCGCAAAGATGGAACCCCCATCAAGCCGCATGTTAGACCCTTTGCCAAGTATGTGAAACAGCATTACAGAATCGTCAGGAAGAGAATGAGAAATGCAACCCATGGGGATGTGATGAGAAAGCTCAGCAAGGGTTATTTCATCTGCAAAAAAAACAACACCCTTTAAGCTTATGAGAGGGTGTCCGTGTGAGCCGAGTCCTCTGCTTATGAAGAAGTTTTAGGAAAATGTCTTTGTTTTTATGATGCTATGATTGTTAGAATTTAAATCTTTTTTATAAAGTTTCATATTGTTAATGATTGTTCTTTAACCAAGTGTTCCTTCATTCAGCACTTTGTGCCCTTGATTGTACTTGGAGGTCCTTTGGACCCACCTTGTGTTTTACACTCCATAGTTGTGATACATGGAACATATTTACTCTCTGTAATTGTAATGTGTGGAACAAACTTAGACCCTGTAGTTAACATGTGTGGAACATACTTAGACCCTGTAGTTAAGATGTGTGGAACAAACTTAGACCCTGTAGTTAACATGTGTGGAATATACTTAGACCCTGTAGTTAAGACGTGTAGAATAAACTTAGACCCTGTAGTTAACATGTATGGAACATACTTAGACTCTGTAGTTAAGATGTGTAGAATAAACTTAGACCCTGTAGTTAACATGTGTGGAACATACTTAGACTCTGTAGTTAAGACGTGTAGAACATACTTAGACTGTGTTGTTAACATGTGTGGAACAAACTTAGACCCTGTAGTTAAGATGTGTGGAACAAACTTAGACCCTGTAGTTAACATGTGTGGAATATACTTAGACTCTGTAGTTAAGATGTGTGGAACATACTTAGACTGTAGTTAAGACATGTAGAACATACTTAGACTCTTTAGTTAAGATGTGTGGAACATATTTACGCTCTGTAGTTGTGAAGTGTAGAACAAAAGCAAATTAGATTTTTGAGATTGACCGCTTGAAAGAAAGAGAGTAACTGGAAAATGAACATGTTTAAAGGTAGTTTCAAAATGAGGGCTCCTGGCAGATGTAACCTGTTATACTTTGTTAGAAATAAAATTCATATTTCATGAAATTACTTTTGCCATCTGAACCAATGTAATTGTTCATGAAATACCAAAAAAGAATAAAGCGTTTTCTGCAATTCACTTGTTAGCAAAGTGTGTTCATTGACAACCTGTGCCAGCAGCAGAACAAGCTGTCGGGTCTCCCGTCCAGGACCCCGGACAGCTGAGGCTCTCCTGCATGTGTCGGGAAGAGCATTCTGTGTTTTGGGTTTTTCTCTGATTCTTGCAACTTCTCACAAGGTTTTCAGAAGCCTCCCCACCTGTGGGAGCTGTCTGGGATGTGGATGGAATCAATGCTATATTTGTTGTCGATTGGTGCTCTAGCAAATGACCACAAGCTTAGTGACACGCATATTGTCTTACAACTGTGTGGGGGGCGGGAGTGGATGTAGACCTCACTTAGCTGGAATCCAGGTGTGGGCAACGCTGCGTTCCTTTCTGGAGGCCCTGGGGGGTAGGGGGTAGCTGTTTCTTTGTCTTTTCCAGTTTCTAGAGGCTGCTGTAGTCCCTGGTGTGTGGCCTCTTCCTCCATCTCCAAAGCCAGCTGCCTCTGTTTCTCTGGCTTTCTCTCTCTCCATCTCCCTCCTCTTTTCGCTTTTAAGGGCCACATAATGACACTGGGCCAACCTGGGTAATCCAGGAGCAGCTTCTTTTCAGGCCAACTGGTGAACAACCTCAGTTCCCTTTGCCACATAAAGTAACATCTTCCCAGGTTCTGGGGATTAGAGTGTGGGCACATCTTTGCTGGTCTGGCGTCACTGCTCTTTAGAGGCTGGGTGTGTTCTGTCGTCGTCCCTCCTGCCATCCTTTCATTTTGCGGATGCTCAGTGACCCTTTAGTGTCGACCAATGGAAGTCTCCCCACCAGTCTCGGAGGGACTGGGTGTGGTACATGGGGGTGGTACGAGCTTTCCCAGCTAGATCTTTGTGCCTCCTCCTCCGCCCCACCTCCAGCCGGCCTGTGAGACTGGATTTCTGCTTGCTGCTGACCCCTGGGCGAGCTCACAGTGCTGGGGTTCCACCCCTACAGAGGGAAGGGCCTGGCTTTTGTTTGAACTCAGTAACCCTGTCAACCTGCCTTTCTGGGGAGCCCTGGGGATTTCTTCCACTCACTTCCACCCTAGCTATAGCCGTGGGAAAATGCTGCTCCCAGCTCCCAGCCCACCCATGCCTCCAGGGGGCCTTTGTGCTAATGATTGTCTGCCTGTTATCTGATCTCATAGCTTGTCTTCCATCCCACTGCCGTTTCCCTAGTAAAAGTCCCTGTTACCTGTAACCTCACTAATCACGACTGCCTTCTAATTGGTCCCTAGAATACCATCACCTGACCCCGAACTAACTTTCACTCTTGCGTTCAACCCTTCTCCTCCTGAATCCTTCAGTCTGTTGGGACCACTTCTAATTCCTCCAGGAAGCGTTTCTGTTTTCAGCCTTCCCACCTTTGCCTCTACCCTCCCTTCTGCCTGGAAACACCATCTTTCCTTCTCTTTGCCCTTGAGAATACCACTTGCTCATTCCTGTCTTCAGGAAGCCATCCCAAACAGCTCTAGCCACAGTGTTTGCTGTGTGTGCTCCACATATTTGCCTCGTGGCCTAGATTGTGGGGTGTTGTTATGTCTTGCCACATCCTCAGCTTCTGGAGTACAGGGACCATGTCTTATTTATGTCTGAAAGCCCCTTCCCCAGAATATGCCAGTATACTCTGTCCAGCCAGCCGGTTGATTGCTTCCCCTGTACCCTTGTACCTAGGTGCTTCCCTGCCAATGACAGGAGTGTCCAGGAGGACGGAGAGCAGGCCAGATGTGAATGTTAATACAGGCATCATAGGCTGACACAGTCACCAGGCACAGGCGAGGAGAAGCAAAACGTGCGTCCCAGAGCCTGGGCAGGGTGGGTTGGAATTATGTACTACTAGCATACCATGGTACTTTACACTGCTGTTTATTGAAAAGTTTTAAGCAGAACTTTGGACATAAAAGTGAGCAAATACAGAGGTTTGGGGGGTCATAGCTAGTCACTGCTGGGCTGGAGGTCTGGGCCAAGGCCCCACAGGGGCAGCTTCCACCATACTGTGTGCCTCAAGCTCCTTGCATATGGGGAAGGCCAAGGTCTGGCCAAGGTCTAGTTACTGCATAAAGAAGATGGTGGGGCTCTGGGCAACCAACTCTGAATTGGCACAAGGGGGCTTGGCAACTAAGGAGCAGCAAAGTCCCCGGAGTCAGGAGGGTGCCCCCTGGGAGATCTGGCAGTGCTGGGGCTACCAGGAAACCCCAGGAATGTACATCTGGGGAGCCAGACCCTGGGCAGAGGGAGGGAAGAGCCTGGAATGGCGGGGAGTCAGGCTGCGTGGTGAAAGGCTTGCCCCCAGCCCAGCCTCACAAGCCCTGGAAGGAGGAGGCCTCTGTGGTCTCAGACCAGGATGAATCCCGGCGGGAAGACGGCAGGTTCCGCTGGTGCCCGCTCTGGCCAGGGCAGCCCAGGCGCAAAAGTAGCATCCACATCCGCTCTCGGAACTTGACACCCACGAAGGCGTAGAGCAGCGGATTGAGACAGCAGTGCATATAGGCCAGGCCAGAGGTGATGGACTTGGCCACATCCACACGGCTTTCTCGGTTACAGTCTCGGGCCAAGGCCCCCATGTTCATGAAGATGTCCACCAGCACCACCAGGTGGTAAGGGGTCCAACAGAGGGCAAAGGCCACCACTACCACCACCACCAGCCGCATGGCTCGCAGCCGCCGCTGGCCCCTGGAGACCAGCAGCACAGCTAGGATTCGGGCATAGCAGTAGGTCATGACCATCAGGGGCAGCAGGAACCCGGCTACCAGCTGCACTAGGCGCACAGCTGTGCGGCCCACCTGCGGGAAGTCGTGCTGGCACTGAGTGACATTGAGGCGGTAGTCACGGTGGACCGACAAGAAGATGAACTCAGGGAGGGCAAAGAGCAGACAGAGCCCCCAGACAATGACACAAGTGAGGGCCACGCGGGTGGGGGGCCCCCGGCGGTAGAGCTGGGTGGCATGCACTATGCTCAGGTACCGGTCGAAGCTGATGCAGGCCAGCAGGAGGGCCCCAGCGTAGAAGTTGATGTTGAAGAGGGCACCTGCCACTTTGCAGAGCCCAGAGCCGAAGACCCACTGGATCGCAGCGTCCACTGCCCAGAGGGGGAGGGTTAGCACCAGCAGGGCATCAGCCACGGCCAGGTGGAGCAGGAAGGTGTCGGTGCTGCTCAGGGCTGCCCTCTGGCTCAGCAGCACAGCCACCACCGCGCCATTGCCCAGTAGCCCCAGCACAAAGAGGATGCCGTAGATGGCTGGCAGGAAGGCCCGGTCAAAGCTCACGCTGAAGTCTTGTAGGCAGGGTGGGGCTTCGCAGCACAAGTCGCTGTCATTTTCTCCTACATAGTCGATCAAAGAGCTATAGTTTTCCAGCCATGGGAAACTTTCAGGGCTTAGGACCAGACGTTCACTGATCTGTGGAGAAAGGGAGGAAGGGAAGGAGGGTAGAGACCCTGTAAACAGACCCCTTCAGAAGTTTCATCTGAGGAGTTTCTGAGGAGCCTTTCTAGGAGCGTCTCTACTGCAAGGCAAGCCCTGAGGCCAGGGCCACACCCTGTAATTGTTCCCATCTTTCTTCCAAGGCCATGCGTCCTGAACAGCATCTACCCAGCCTTGGGCTAGGAAGTTACTCTTTATCAAAGGATGATTCTCCTATCCCGTTAGCCCGGTAATTGTGGGCTGGATGAAAGCTTTCCTCCCTAGCCAAGAGCCGTCCCTGTCCCCTCTCCTCTTTCTCCTTTCTCTTCCTTCAAGGCATGCTATTGTCAATGTCCCAGCCACACCTACCACTTTCCTTCCCAGGTGCCACCCCACTGTCCCCTCTCCCAGTCACTGGCCCTCCTCTTCCCTCCTCAGCCCTTCTCTGGGGACCCCAACTACCTGCTCCCTGTGGGAACCTCTATAAATCTCTGTGCCCTCCAAGCACACTTTCTGCTCCTCCTCCCCCTCCCTTACACCAGGGACTGCCACCCACCAGGGGCTTCTCCACCAAGCTCTAGCAGAGATAGGCCTCCCCCCCTTTTCCCACAAACTACCCCGGAGCTCCAGGCCTTCTCAGGGCCGGCTCAGTCCTGCACAGAGGAGTCAAAGTCCCAAGTCAGAACCAAACGGTGTCTTGGAGGGTGTCAGGGGTAATCCTCTATCCCCTGCATTTTGCAGGTGAGGCACCAGCCAGAGAGGGAAGTGACACCCGGTGGCCATTGGCACAAGTCAGCAGCCACAGTGGGCTCTCGATTTCCCCGTCCGGTGCCCCTTCTACTCAAGCGCTGCATTCTCGACCTACTCCCCCGCCCCTCTGCTGGTGCTGGCTCATGGGCCAGTCCTGCTAGCCCCCTACTGTCTGTCCTGGGCTCTCCACACTGACAGTGGTCTGTCCCCGCTGGACAGAGGCACTTACCTCAGGGAGCATGGTTGGACTGGTGCACCAGCTGCTAGGCGCGTGCTACCTGCCCCTCTGCTTGGGGCTTGTGGTTGAGAACCTGCACTATACAGAGGAAGTCGGGGTTTCGTGTGTTTCTCCACCGCTGCCTCTTCCATGGGGTTATCTACACAGACCTCTCTAGAGCCAATGCCGTGGAGCTTCCCCTCTCAGCCATTCCCCTGGCCAGGGAAGCTTCCTGGGGCCTGAAAGGCTGAGGCCTCCGGAAGGGCTGAGGCAGGGCCTCCCAGGGGACAGATCTGAGGGAAACACAGAGTGGTGGGGAAGTGAATGAAGGCCAGCCCTGCCTGCAGTCAGGAAAAGAACTGCTTCTCTTGCACTAGTGTAGGCAATGCTCAAATAAATGAGAACTTGCGCTCCTCAGTCCTGGGCTGGAGTCTATTTTCGCCTGATTGTGGACTGGATTGCTAAACATGTTAAGTCTGTAAAGGACCTTGCCGTTCTTTAAAGAATCAAAGTGTTTAAAAGAAATCAATTACATTAAGTGTAGTCCTTTACTATTGCCCCTTCCTGGTAGTCCACAGGGGCAAGGATAGGGTATTGCTAGTAGTGACCTTGCTGTGTGCCCAAGGTTGCTTTTGGTGCTTTCTCTGTCACTGCCTCGTTCCAGCCACACAGCTCTGTCGTCAGGCGGGGGTTATCCTTATGACTAACCCAGAAAGGAGAAAGGTCTTCTTCACCAGGTGGGTGCTAAGACTGAACCCACAGCTGTCTGACTCTTCTTGTACCACTCATCACATTGCCTTCACTGTTTTTACGTTTTTTATCCTCACCTGACGACATTTTTTAATTGCCTTTTACAGAGAGAAGAAGGTAGAGAAAGAAAGAGAGAGAAACATCGATGTGAGAGAGAAACATCGATGGGTTGCCTTCTCGTATATGCCCCAAGTGGGGATTGAACCCACAACCTGGGTGTGTGCCCTGACCAGGGATCAAACCTGTCACCATTTGATTTATGGGACAATGCTCCAATCAACTGAGCCACATGGGCCAGGGCAGTTTTTTTTAATAGATGAACTATGTTATATTTGTGCAGCTAAAACACAGTGAAGTTAAGCTATATATTGTAGCATACATACATCTAAAAAAGCCAGTGACCACATGGTAGAATAGGCAACATACAGAATATTGTGTATAGTTTGACACTGCTTACGTAAATTCTAAAAACCACACATGCAAAACAAGGCTGAGTTGTTTTGGATACAGCGGTTTGTTCTAGAAGTCTAGAAGAGGGGCTGGCGATACCACAAGTTCATGAGAGCCGTTCCCCCTGGAGCAAGAAGAAAGGGACCGGGGAAGGAGAAGAGGACATGGGCACCTCCTGATTTTGAGAAGTTGTAAACAGCATTTGTGGAGCCAGTCAGTCCCTTTTTGGCTGCGTACTGTGGGGAGTCCTGTTCCCCATGTTGCCCTCAGCTCTGCCCTGCCCTCCTCTGCCCTCCCTATCAGCCCGTTCTCATTATCAACAGGGAAAGGTGGCCCTTAACGTGCTTTTCTCCATGGAGTTTCTTCTTTCCCTCTCCCTTCAGATGGAAAGGAGACACACAGACAATGCTAGCCCATGGCCGTGGGGTCTGCTTTTCGGCCAGAGCACTTCACAAAAGCCTCCAGCCGAAGGCCTGGGATTCAGTTCAAACTTACTGACAAGATACACAGTGGTGAAGCCCCAAAGCCCTTCCCCACCTTGTATGATCACAAGGTGTGTGGCTGTCAAGATTCTTAGAAGATTTAGCTGCGGCCTTTGTTGCTGCAAAGAATGAAGTCCTTCATGTGGCTCTCTTTGCTCCCAACAACTTGTCACCTGCACGGGCCATGCCAGAAGGAACTGAGGGCCTGGAGGAGGTCAGGAGCAGTATCTGTGGAAGGGACCGGGAGGGTTCCAGAAGCCATAGAGGTTAGGAGGGACTTGGAAAGTGGCTGCCTGTCAGGGGAGGAGCAGATGTGGGAGCCAGGACCACAGCTTCCTGATGCCGGTGCATGAACAGTTTCCATTCACTGGGTTTCTACGCATGAGACAAAGGAGAACAACAAAAAGCTCTATTTGTTCAGCCTGAAGGAAGGTCTGCTATTCTCTGCAAGTTTGTCCTTCGTCTCCTTTTTGGTATTAAAAGGATTTCTTCCTTATAAGAAGTTAGTGGAAATAGCTGAGTTTTGGAAGTATCTCTCGTTGGCAGCAGTTGACACCCCCCTGTGGGCCCTCCAAATACATGTTGCACTGTTATCGGTGCAAGTGGAATTGCACTCTAGGGACCCCTGGTCTCCTTCCTGGGCCCCAGTTTCCTTGTTTGTCACATGGGGACAATGATCCCCACCTTCCTGGGCTGCTGGGAAGGAGAAATGAGAGCACGTCACGCAAGAGCTTCGCAAAGGTGCAGAGAGCTGCTCCCCATGTGGCCACTTGACTGTGAAGCCATGATGCAGTGGGAAAAATATTGAACTGGTCTGCCTCCAGCCCTGACTCCACTTTTTGAGCTCTGTGACCTTGGACACATGACATAACTGTTTTGCGCTGCTCTCAGCAGGGTTATTGTAAGGTAATTCAAGGTAACCAAGGCTGGAAGACCCTTGGCACAGGCCTTTGCTCTTTGCAGGTGCACAGTTGAGAGTGCTGAGCAGGGGGGATATTGGCTACAGACCTAGAGTCACTGGGCACCTGCGTGTCAGGGGCACCCTGGGATAGGCCGTGCTACCTACGCATGGGGCCAGCAGGCGTGGGTTTGTCCCGGGGGTGGCTCATCCTGAATGACTACCACTCACCTTAGCTGGGAGGGTTTGGCCAGTCCCAGCCTAATGCTCTGGCTTCCCAGCTGTGTAATCTCAAGCAAACCATTTTGCTTTCCTTCCCCACTTTCCTCATCTGAAAAGGAGGGATAAAGAGAGTGCACGCGTGAGTGGGCTGCTCTGTGGACTGCAAGTGATGCATGTGGGAAGGTCTGGAAGAGGGTAGGGGTCCAGTGAGCAGCAGTTTCCTTCCCACCGAGGCCTCAGAACGGCAGCTGTGTGGTGGGCTCCGGCAGTCTCTCCCAGCCCAGTTGTCTTGCAAGGAAGGTGTCTGTGTCATGGTGGCTGAGGCAAGCCCTTGCCAGCCCCTCTGATTTGGTCCTCTCCTTTCCCAAGCAACCCCCAGAAGAGGTCAAAGGCAGGCCCAGCCTTTGGGAAGGCATATCTGGCCAGGAGTTCTGATAGAGGGGCCCGCCTGCTTCTTGCTTCTGCTCTCCTGAGCAGCCGCTGGGGAAGCTTGAGGAGGAAGTTAGTCAGAGTGAAGCTGCTCCGGGCTCCGCCTGTGGTCAAGGTGTGAAGTGTGCACCTGTGTGTTCTCTGCCACCCTTCCCCCTGTTTTTTTCTTTCTTTCACACCTTTGGGCTGTGGTTTGGGAGATTGGAGGCTAGGAGGTCTGAGCCCTGGGCCCAGCCCCTCACAGGAAGGAGGGCCTCCACAGCGTCTGTCAGACTAGCCAGGGAAGGGGGCTACTTCCTCCTCCTTCCTCTCAGCATCTGCAACCTCACAGCCTGTCTTGAAGGTCCTCAGAATGACTCTGGAGGTTGCTCCCAAAGTCGCTGGACTCAGCCACTGGCCCCAGGCTGTCTGAGGAGCAGGCTTAGGGAGGCTCAAACTTCTGTGGGACTCTGGCAGTGGCCTAGGCTGAGGCAGACCCTTCCTTTCATGAAATTAATCAGAGTCCCGCCTCCAGGCAAGGGTGGGAGTCTGCCCTAAACTATGCGGGGGCTCTAGACCTCCTTTTCCTGGCTCCAGATTTCCCAAGAAAAGGAGAGCTTTAGTCACCAGAGGCCTGGGGACTGGGGACTACCCCCTCCTGTGCCCATCTTCCTGCAGCTCTGAGCCCTACTGGGGGCCAAGCCCTTTCTAAGTGCTGGGGCCATGAGCTGGGGCCTGGGAAGTCCAGGCCCATGGGGGTGAGTTTGCAAGCTATGGGGCGCTCATTCTCTCTGGGGCCAGGGAAGGAGGATGTTGCTGCCATTTTTCAGGTGGCCAAGGGAGACAAGGCAATTCAGGCTGTGCGAACAGCAGGTGCCAAGGCAAGGAAGTCAGGAAGAGCCTGTCAGCCCAGGGGTAGTCAGTGTTCTTGGAGAAGGTGCATGTGAGAGAAGGAGGGTAGAGGGGCTTGGAGAGTAGTTCAAGACCCAAGCCCCGCCATTAAGCATCATGACCTTCTTGTCAGCCTGTCGCCAGAAGTGCCTGGAAACTGTTAAATAACAAATAGCTCCCATTCAGCAAGTCCTAATTTTTGTACACATGGTCTCTTTTCAACCCATCAGCCACCTGAGGAAGCAGAGGTTACTGTACCCATTTTGCAGAATGGAGGTGGAGGCTCAGAGTGGTGAAGTGACTTGTCCAAAGCTAATCAGTCAGTAGGATTTCTGGCAAGATCCCTATCCAGGCTGCATTCCAATGTGCTATACTAACTGATAGGGTCGAGATTCCTGCCTGCCTCCTGCAAGAATGAATAACCTGGCTCTTTCAGGAGTGGTTCTTTCAGGAGCCACACCAGATTCACCACATTGCCCCAACCAGACATCTTGTATTGTGTCATAAAGGAAGCTTTGGTAAACCTCACCGCATTCTCATTCTTCTTGCACCACTCCTCCCCAATCACCAGGAAGCAGAAATGTCAGAATTTCCAGGGTGAGGGGCTTGGAGGACCAAGCAAAAATCTGCCCAGTGCCACACCCCTTTTGCAACACCCCCCGGGACAGTCTGTAATGCTCCCAGAAGTCTCCAGCCCATCCCACGCCAGCTCCGGAAGGCCTGGCTGAGGTACTCCCCCACCTCTGGGCTGGGTGTGCATCTGTTCCCATTCTGCTATGTACCTGGAATTCCACCTTGGCTCACACCTGTCCAAACTCTTCAGAGGTACAGGTGGCAACATTGCCAGTGCACAAAAGTCTAATTATAGAAGCCTGATCTTGGTGAATACTTGAATTCCAGTTGCTCCCACAGTGAACAGGAGGAGGCTGTCCCCCTGCACTGTTCGGCTGGGCCACCCCTAGAAAGGAAGTCATCGTCATGCCCAATGTTTGCTTCTTAATATTCCCTCTGGTTGCCCCACGGAGTGAAGTCAAACAGGATAAAAATAACAGCTGACGTTTACTGATTACTTAACTACGTGCTGGGTACTTTCTAAGAGCTTTACTGGGATGAATTCATTTAATACCCATAACTGTGTAGTAGCTATGACC